CACACTTGTATAGCATGCATTATGAATTTTACAACAGACATATGTCTTGATATATTATTATATATTTATAGCTTACCTCTCGTAGACGTTCGTTGTGGCGGGTGTATCGGCATATGAGACCCCGATGGCGATGGACAGCTGTTGAGGTATAGGTAAAATCTATCGCCACCGTCGGCACGAAGCACTTGTTACCGATCTGTGCAGCTTCGCCTTGCACACAAACTCTCCATGCTGCTTCGCGCCGTCACTGACTATTGCGGCAGTCCTTGTCGGGTTTTGCACCGCAGGCACCGTAATGGCAACGGACGTATATGCGGGTGCAGGATTTACACGGTCGGATCAACTGTACGGAGTTGTCTGTGACGGCACCTCAGTGGCGATGCGTTCAGCGCGTTCACGGCCAAAACAAACGATTTTAAATACCACGGAACAAGCTACAAAGGCGATTGTGTGTGTGTGTGTGCTGTGTGTGTGTGTGTGTGCCGCTGCGCGCGCGTCGCCGCGCGTGTGTACGTGTGGGTGTGTACGTGGTGTGTGTGTTACGTGTGTGTGTTTACGTGTGTGTGTGTACGTGTGTGATGTGTGTGTGTGTGTGTGTTGTGGTGTTTGTGATGTGTGTGATTCGCATGTGAGTTTGTGTGTAGTGTGTGTGTGCTTACGTGTGTGTGTGTGTGTGTACTGTTGTGTGGAGTGGTGTGTGTTGTGTGTGTGTGTGGTGTGTGTGTGTCTGTCTGTGTGTGTGTGTGCGTGTTGACTGTGTGTGTGTGTGCTCGTTGTGGTGTGACGCTGGTGTGCGCTTGCGCGCGCGCGCGCGTGCTGTTGCGTGTGTATTGTGTGCCTCGACTAAACCGACAGAAATTGATTCGTGTCGCATCCTTTCAAACGCATCCATATATCGGACAACGCTGCGTCTGTCTTCGGGCGCGCTGATTTGCGCGGGTAGCCGACGTCCGCGCCGTAAGAGAGACGACAGACGTCCGACGACATGAGCTCTGCCGCTACAGTTAGCGCCCGCCGCTGCGCAGGACTCCATCACTGTTGCTTTGCCCGCTTTATTTTGCGCGAGGCGCGAGTTCAAGTGGCTGGCCCAGCTCGCCGTTGTCTGGCCGGCACGCCGTAACAGGTAGCGAGCGTCTACGTTTTGTCGCGAGAACAATGCCTGTTTGTTAAGGGGGCTGGGCGAGTTGTACAACACGGCATTCGGCGCAATTTACGCGCCATTCAGTGATCGTAACCTCGGCGGGTACGTAAACACTGACATGGAGAGGTCGCACTGTCGGAGCCACGCGCCGGATGCACAGCGCTTGCGCTGAGCACTTCGCTGCACACCTCGTCCGGCCGGTTTAGCTTAAATTGCAGCTCATCTTAGAGCTGCGACTTG